TGTGTGTGTGAACGTCAAGAGAGCATGAAGGGTGATTCAGAGGCTCGTGGATCTCTCTATACACTGCTGGCTGACTGCCTGGACGATGGTGGGACAGGAGAGCTAGGGACAGCTGCACCCTCTACCACCTCCTGCCTTTGGCCAAAGAGGAAGAAGTGGCTTACACACAAACACACACACGGTGCCCATCCGGTGTCCGTCCCGTCCAACACAAGATGGCGACTGCGTGTGTGTGGCATGTTGTTCTGGGGCACGTAACGTTAACATGGAAAGAACAGCAGCAGCGGAAGAGTGTCTCAGATAGTATAGCTGAAATGCCACTTGAATTAAAAGGATAGTTCACTCAGAAATGAAAATTCTGTCATTTACTCTCTCTTATGGTGTTTTGAGCCTGTATATTGCTGTTTTTACATCCTTATGCACCTTAATGTTTCCTATAATGTGTAGTTCAGTACAATTTATGAATTGGACCAAGCAATTTGAATTGCAATTTATGAATTGGGTTCTTGATTTAGCTTACTGGAAAGGAAGATTATCAGTGAATAACAACTTAAATTTAGGTCTTTTACTGACACAAAACTATCACATAACCTCAGCGGAAGAGTTAAAGAGTGTCTCAGATATTATAGTTGGAATGCTGCTCGAATTAAAAAGACGGTTCACCCACAAATGAAAAGTTCTGTCTTTATTTACTCACCCTCATAGTATTCGAACTCATGTTTTTTTTCCTGCCTTGGTGGACCTTCATGCAGCTGTTTTCCATAATGAATCATGCAGTGCAACTTGTGAACAGGATCAAGTGTTTAAAGGGGTCCTATTATGCTTTTTAACTTTTTAAATTTTAGTCAGTGTGTAGTGTGTATGTTTGGGCATAAAAAAGATCTAGAAAGTTACAAATCTCAAAGTCCACTCCAAAGGGAGATATTTCGTTTTTTTTTAATCCCTTTTCAAGAACTACAACGAACGGCTCGTTTGGACTACAGCGTTTATTTTCTGGGCTTTGTGATATCACAAAGCGGCTCATTGGAATATCATTACAAATAATTCCCGCCTACAGAAATTCGAATGGTTGGGGGGTGGGGAGGGGCGAGGTTGTGGTTAGAACGCTTGGTTGAGTGAGTGCATCAGACGAGACGACAAAGAAGTGCTGCTGCAGAGTTAGTGCATCAGAGAAAACCAAGAAGAAGAGCTGCTGTGCTGTAGCATCAAATGTTTGGCATGTCTAGAACAGCGGTTCTCAATTCCAGTCCTCGCGTACCCCCGCTCTGCACATTCTGTATGTTTCTCTTATTGCTTCATACGTTTGTTATATTTGACTGTAAGCGCCCTGCGAAGTGGACATTACCGGATATTCCTCCATGATTCCAGTTTGAAGGGAGCGTATATGTTACATACAAAGGGCATTTAAGTGTGCGAGAAGTGAATTTAAATTGTATTTATTTACAGAGGTATATTATGTCCCACTTCACGCTTCTCTAGTAAGTTTCGTTTGTGTGTGAAG